AAGTCCGGAAGCACTGCTGGCGGTTAGACTAGCATTTCCAACAGAAGTGGAAACTAGGCCTTGCTTGGCCAATTGTGTGCAACCCATGATAATATGCGGGTGAGCACCTGTCGAAGTTTTCTCCGGTGCTCGGTGAACTAGCGGGAAGGGAGGAAAGGCGTACACAACTAAGTGGGTCCACGGGGCTAACAAAACGACTCTGGCCCAGGCTCCTGGAGTCAGCAGGAGTGTTACGTACGTCGGGAGCTTGGCGTTCCGGGGTGCGGCAAAACGGTCCAATCTTGGACCGTCCCACGGTCGAAACAGCCTAGAGGCTACCCACTGGGGTATCAGCTACTCCGTGTTCTGGAGACGGAGCCGCCCTGAAAGGATGTCGCCAGACTGTTCCTCACCCCTGGAAGGTGGTGTGCGGTTAGCTCCACATTGTATTCCAGGCACCAAAGGATAGGGAATGCGTCCCCCCTCCTTCTTGAAGGAGACCACCGCTGCATTGCCTGTGCGGAGCAGGACTCTGTGGTCTCGAACTACAGGTAGAAAGGGTGGTAGTGCTAAGTACACTGCTCTCAGTTCGAGCCGGTTGATATGGTAGTCCCGAAACTAATGCGGGGGGCCATATCCTTGGGTTTGTTGGCCCAATAGATGCGCTCCCCAACCCTAGGGGGAGGTATCTGTTACCAGAGTCATACCTGCGGCGAGCGGGCCCAAGGGGCTCCCCTGTCCGAGGTTGGCCAGTGACGACCACCAGGGCAGGGCTTCCTTCACTTGGTTCGAGATTGAAACCCTATCTAGTTCCCATAGGAGAGCTCGGCGTTATAACAAGCGTTATACCGGGCGGCTGCGTAGTGCGGCCTGGGGAACGACCCTTCGAACCGAGGTCATCATTTCTATGCTCCGTATTAGTTCAAGGAGGGACACCGAGGGAACGCTGACTAGGCATTCGGCTAGGCTGCTTAGCACTAAGCAATACGCTTGAAATAGCTAAGCCAAGCTTAACTCTGTGCAAAAAACTCCATGCCCAGGGACAGCAACTGCACGTTGGGTCGAGGTGGGACTTGTCGAGTTACTAATCGCCCAACTGGTGAAGTAAATCCCGTGTTAGCCTGACGCGTTTGGCTATTACCCCTTGCCCGGGTTGTTGATAACCGGGAGTCTGGGTACAGATTGAGGTGTACCGACATCTGGTGAAGCAGCAGCACTATCTGTTTCATCACGAACGGGGGGCACCCAAAATTCAAATACTTGGCCCAGCTGGTCGATTCGAAGGAGATGGCAACTAGCTGGGTGCATCGGTACTTGCAGGTAGGCCCTGCTTAAGTCTAGCGGGGCTAGCCAGTCAAAACGGTGGATGGAGAGAAGAACCATGAATGGTGTCTCCATGTGGAACCGATCGAGGAGCACGTACTGATTCAGTCTGCCTAGGTCCAAAACTGGACGCCTGCCACTTGTAGATTTGGTACTACGAACATATTTGGGTAGAAGCCTGGCATTAGTTCCGGCTGATGTACCCTGTGTATGGCGTCTTTCCCCAGCAAACTGCTACTTCCTGTCTGATTGCTTCTGCCTTGTGGGAGTCCCCTGGCAGTGTCCAACAGGGGAGGCACTGACGGGGGGAAATGGAGATTTCAGCGGTATCCCGTAAATGGATGTCACCACCTGGAAAGGTCCAGGGATCGGTCACCCGTCGTCTCCAAACCGGACTACACCGGCGCAATCTGTGTATGACAGGATATGTGGCCATGTGTTCGGTAGTTGCGAGGAGGGTGCTCCATTCCCCATGAGTGAGTTCCCCAAAGCCTGAAGTAGTCACTAAGTTG